ACACTGCCAGGTCAATGCCTGCGTAGGGGATGATCCCCAGCATGTTGGGCAGGTAGCCCTTGTAGAACGCCCGCAGGCCCTCCCTGCGTAGGATCTGCCGTGCACAGTCTGCCACTCCCGAGTACTGCCCAGTGCGCCGCAGTGTGAGACGGGTCTTCAGGACCTGGAAAGAGACAGACACTGATCAGTACAGGGTCTTGAGGGATGCCATTCTGTACAGGGTCCTGCAGGAAACTATTCTATTCAGGGACCTGTAGGACACCACTCTGTACTCTCTACAGGGGCCTGAAGGAAGCCACTCTGTCCTCTGTATCTGGGCCTGTAGAAGGATATACTGCCAGTTTCCTAGTGCCTGTTGTCCCAGGATCAGGTTCCGTTGCCCCAGGGTCAGGTTCCTTGTTGGCCCAGGGTCATACTCACCTCCATGGGGTAAATGATGGTCTGAGCAGTGGCTCCAGCCAGGGACCCTGCGATGAATCTCTCCTGAACTCTCAATGAGCCCTCGTTCCCCCGGATCGCCCGCTTAATCTGGGGTGAGTGAGACAGAGGGCGAGCAAGTGAGACAGGGAGTGAGTATATATGAGAGTGAGACAGGCAGGAGTGGGTAACGGGTCTAACAGAGAGAGTGGAAGAGAGTGGGGCAGGGAGAGAGAGAGTGAGACCGGCAGTGTGGAAGAGAGTGAGACAGGGAAAGAGAGTGAGACCGGCAGTGTGGAAGAGAGTGAGACAGGGAGAGAGAAAGTGAGAAGAACAGTGTGGAAGAGTGGGGCAGGGAGAGAGTGAGACAGGCAGTGTGGAAGAGTGGGGCAGAGAGAGAGTGAGACAGGCAGTGTGGAAGAGTGGGGCAGGGAGAGAGTGAGACAGGCAGTGTGGAAGAGAGTGAAACAGGGCATCAGAGTAGCAGGTCCCACCTGTTCGTAGGCCATGAACTTGATGGCGGACTCGGGGGCGATCTTCAGCACATTGATACCGTTTCCACGCCACAGCGAGAGGACCCCTCCCTCCAGCACCATCCCGCGCAGACCTCCCAGGACCTTCATCCTGCGCAGCCCCCCC